GACATATATTGGATAAGATTTCTGGCAAATTTCACGGTATTTTGCGAGTTTTTGGAAATTTCACAGGATTTCGCAGATTTACCTGAATTTCACGGCTCCATGACCGTGCGAAATATCAGAAGCCCTGTCATGTGGTAAAAACGTACCATTCATTGTGTGTAATATGAAGTGCCAAAAGTTACATTGTAGTTGCAATCCAACCCAAGGATGTAAAGGAAGTGTGTCATCCACTGACCCTGTCTCTCCTAACTGTAAAATGCAGGGAGATAGATTTTCCTAGAAATGCTAAAGATCTACCATAGAAGGTGCATTTAAATAGTAGGAGGGTCCTCTATACCCCTTTGTAAAATCCTTTCTCAAAAAATATTGAGATTTTTTATGCATCACAAATAGTTTCTAGAATTATTTATGTTCACCTAAAAATTAAGCAATTTCACGTTTTTCAGAAAATTGAAAAGTAACTTCATGGATTTATGATTTCTTTCAACTAGCCTGTAAACCATCCAAAGGTGACTCATTCTTCTTGGAATCTCAATCAAATGTAAGGGTACAGGCAACCCCTCTCAACAACCAAAATGCTGTAAAGTAGGTTTACATGCTAAAATTTGTCCTCCCAAAGAAATGGCCTATTTACGTGCCATGGCTTAATTATCCAGCCAATAAATATCTTTTAAAATTGAGGTTTATTTAACACTCACGCTAAAATTTTCATTCCCCTGTCCTCCCAAAACCGCTTTCAAATAATTTGGGAATCAAAATTTGAGAAAAAGCCCTCCCCCGCCCTTAATTCACTGAAAAAGTATAGGGGACCCTCCTGTAACACCTGACATACCATTTCCTCCACATCATTTAGAGTGATGTATCATCTCACTATCACTCATTTTATAAGGACTCTGACTGTTGACTAAATTAATGGTTAGTGCAGCGTAATTTGGTATTGACTGTGTGAATTTAATTGGTTGTCTTTTATTTACCAGTGTGCAGTAAGAGAAAAGTATAGGTTGTATCAAGACTGTCTAAAATGAGATTGATAATTTCTTTTTCAATCTTTCTTTTCTTTTCATTTCAGTATCTGTTCATCTGAGCTAGTCAAATACATGTCAGTCAGTTTTTCAGTAAGCACATTGTTTGGTTTAAGTTATTATTGTTCATTTTTGTAGACTGCCAGCAGTCCCCCTTCTTCTTCAGATTGCCTTCAGCCACGTGGGTGGTCACTTTTGTGTGTTATGCGTTTTGCTCAACAGACAAAGAAAAAAGAGAGACTGGTCATAGTCTAGTTTTTGTGCCAGGCCAGTGTTGTCTGCAGTTTTAACACACAAGAGCAAAAGGCTCTGAATAATTGCTCACTAACTATTAAGAAGAGAAAGGCATTTTGCTAACTCCAGCCAGCTCATTCAAACTGTCTCTCCGGTGTCTGATATTGTGGTTCTGATAGACTAAGTGCAGCAAGTTCTGATCTAAGTACAAGAATCGTCAAACGTTTGCTTTGGCGTCAGATGAAAAAGAACAAAGAATTTGTTCCTTAGGGAGCCTTCTGACACTAGAGTATTGTCTCATTTGAGGTCAAATTAAGTCCGAGCCATGCGCAGATTGGTCAGCTGAAGGGGTGTAATTCTAACTTCCTGGCCAGGGTCTTAGTCTCTTTCATATGAGGCCGAGTTCCCCCCCTGGGGAAGGAGAGGTCTACTTTTATATCTAGCCGAATTTATGAAAACTGCACCAGCTGGCAAGTGTAAGCCACACAGCTTAACTTAACTATAAAACTTTGTTGAGTACCCCCCCCTCCCACGGGACTCAACTGAGTTTGATTCAGATTTTCCTTTGTTTCTTAGTTTTAACAGCTTCTACGAGACAAAGGAATTTCTGGTTTTACCGTAGAATGGATTTTATCAACAACAGCTGCATTTGTCAAAGTGTTCATACAGATTTTGGCATGGGGAGCAAAAGGGCCATGCCCCCTACTCCACCCCCACCACCAACATTTGTCTTCTATTAATTGTTTTGTTTTAAGAACTTTCCCACAGAACCTTTACTTTCAGTGAAGCACTGAGTGAAGGCGTAGGGCCTATTCGTTTTACCGCTTTAGGATCTTATCAGGTCCGTTAAACATTAGACAACAACTGTACCCGTTCAAAAAACATTTTCGACCCTAGACAATTTACATGTAGTGCTAATTATTAAGTGTCTTTTTATTAGAAAAATGAGCAGCTTCAAGTGGACTTTTATAAGTATATCTGAGAGTACGTGACTGTGCGTGACTAGCCCAAAGAATGCCTTTTGCTCTGTAGATCGTATTACAACCTGTAAGGTCCTATTTTGAGGTCGTGTTTCATTCCTAAAAGGGCAGCATCGCTTGCGTAATTCAAAAACGAATTCGTGAAAAAAAAGGGGAAGAGAAAAGAAAAACAAGCAAACAAACAGGTGATACCAAATCGTAATTTTAACTGGTTTGGAGACGTTGTTGGAAACCTAGCATCTGAAAGCATCGACGAACAAGTTGTCTCGGTTCTTCTTGAGTCCACTATGGTATTTTGTTATTTATAATTTGCCACACTTTCATCTTAAATCCACAGTGTTTACTTCTTTCGATAGTGTTTTGTTGATGTTTATTACCACTTTTTTTCATCTCTGATTACTTTGTTCTTTCTTCTCATTCCCAAATAGGAATAAGTGTCCTTTTTTACAAGGGTCATCTAATCCTGTGGACTGTTTTTAAGAAGCGCTAAATACCACGATTGATCTCATTTTAAATTTCAATGTAAAGGAATGGCATTTTATTTTTTTCCTTCAATTTGGCATTTTTAAAATTTTTGTTGGAATAGATTTTGTCTCCTGATTTTGTACCTTTCTACGAGCCAAAGTCAACTTTGCTGTGAGGACTTGTCCGATGTTCAAAAGCTCCTTAAATACTGTACTGTTTGATTGCCAAGAGCATAAAGCCCACTCTCCCTTTGCTCACAAGCAGCAAGTCCACCTTGTGAAGAGTCGGGCAGTTAGTGGCTAAAGAACGTCGAAGTATTGGAATTTGTTTAAGGGTGGTTTTAGAAGTTTTAAAGAAAAGTCAGCCGGAAATACCGTACTGCAGCGGTTTTTACCTTTTCACACTTTAGATAGATCGACGCCTTTATTTAAAATCAAAAAGTAATTACCTAGGGTAGTCCATTCAGGGAGCTTACAAAACATACCTGCTATCAATAGGAACCCTGAGTTCACTAACTAGACTATAAATAATAATAATAATAATAATAAAATAGACACAAGGTAATATAACAAATGAACTAATGACAAGATCTTTCAAGATTATGGACATTTACAATAACTATTAAAAAAGAATGCTTCCATGGTAATGAAAGGATCTCTTGGCCACTTCTTTTCTTATAGCAGGCAGATGCAAGAGATTGCTCTGGCGGGTTGAACGAGCCCAAATGTCCTTGTTAAAAACAAAGTAGTTTTTAAAATACTGAGGGCACCGACCATGTAAACATTTCCTTACAGGTTTTAGGATGTGTTCATCGAGCCTGGACCTAAGACTTGGCCACTTCAAAGCTTTCATGGCAGTGTCACTACTAGATGCTTTAATTACAATTCTTCCAACGCGCTTCTGCAGAGTTGCTAGAATTCCACTATTTACTTCCCCACAACACCCCCAGGCCCCAGTATGATGTTTATTACCCAACATACAAGTACGTAGATATCTCTGGAAAATGATATTTGTCTCTTGAGAGATGAGAGGCTTTTCGGAAGCATGCCACGAGACCGTGGGTTTTTTATCCGGGACAAAGAAACCCGCTAAACCGGTTTTATTATTAATTATTTCTTTCGTTTTTCTTTTAAAAAAAATGATATTTTTTTTATCATTTTTTTTTTTGAGATATCAATAGAATGAGGCTGAGGGTTTCAGGAAGCATAGATAACACCAATAACAGTTTAAAGTCGTCTGGTGACGTGTGCATATAATTGACGCGACCTGCAGAACTCAAATGAAATAAATAATAATCACAACTCTTGCTTACATTGAATTCATCTGCAACATACGTGTCTATCCTTCCCATTTGGTCATTGGAATTTATTGTTATCACCCTCAAAACAAAAAGTCCAGTGGGCTAATACGACGGCTGTGCGCATATGTTACAGATGAATTAATCCCGGTCCACCCTGGTATTGATTGCGCCTGTCGTTCTGCGACCTTTCTGAATATTGCGTCAATGGATACATGCCTGCGTGGCTGCAAACGTGAAGAAACAAAAGAGGAAAGGGGGATTGAAATTGGACGCGGTAGAGTGGCAGGGGAAAGCACCTTCCAAAATTGTCGCGCCACTAACGCTTCACGCGGGATGAAATACCTAGCCTGTGAACAGGCCTTTGGTCGAACGGGGAACTTCCCTTTCCTCGCTATTTTTTTCCCCAAACAGAGAGCCTGTTCGCAGGCAACGAAATACCCTTTCCATTTCAGTCTTATGTTTCTGGCGAATTCCACGTAGCCGACTAACAGACAAGCGCGCAGCAACGTGAAAAAATCACCACTTTTATTGTAGCCTGTGATCATGTTCTCCCTATGCCTCTCAAAAGGGTTTTTCTTTGGCGTTTTGTCAGAGCTTGGCACATCTTAAGAAGATAAAGCGAATTTTGCTATTTTGCTTCCCCTATGACTTCGTGCGTGACTAATACAATATATGATCGAATACGTACAGCTAAACTGCAGTTACAAAATTAATTTATGTGTATTTGTAAATTCAACTGGTTTATTTATACTTTATATTTTTCAATTCAAAATTCGCCCGCTAGAGTGAAAACTGTCAAATTTTAGGCAACTATCAATAGTTTTATTTGGTTATGTGATTATTCAACACTTTTGACTTTTAGGTTGTGTTCATGGTACAAGTAATAATCTTAGCACTTTCAGCTTTTTCGTGGCACATTTTTTGACAAAGCGTACGTTTCCAACACAACCATATTTGCACGTCAACCGGGACTTAAATAATAAAAAAAAATGCACAATTCTTGTAGTTGAAACTGTTCTTCAAAGACTGCAGCAGTGCGCATATTAAAAATCGACGAAGTTTTAAGAAATGGCTCGCGCCGTTAATCACAAACTTTGGGCCTCGGTAAGGCTGCGTCTATATACATTCGTTGGATTGCTTTGACATTAAGCCGAATATACGCGGGACGAGTTAAGTTTAACCTGCCATGCTTCTTGTAATCAGGAGAACAGTTTTACATTTTGTTTCTTGTTTTTCTTTCAGAATGTTGTTAAAGCTACGAATGTCTTCTACAAGGAGCACAATGTGACCAGAGATAAGAGGGGTCAGGTTGTAGGTACGAGGGGAGGATTTCGAGGATGTACAGTTTGGTTTACAGGTAAGTAAATTCTAATATGATCATACCTGTAACGTAGATAACTCACAAAGACAAAGTCTATGAGAGAGAAAACGGAGAAGCCAAAGGTTAGCCAAAGTTGACTACTTTTTTAGTTTGATATTTGAGCGATCACACTGAATTCTCATCTCCTGTGCTCTTGGTGTAGAGGTTGTTTACAGTTGTGGTAATTTCCTGGACACATACTCGTTTAATGTTTAAGACGAACAGCACTCATCAGTTCTATTAATGTTTGACCCTTTAAAGTCCGAGTTTCCCTATTCTATTACAATTTATCGTTCCCGCGATGAAGTTTATGTAATTTTTCTTTTCGTAGTGAAGTTCAAACAAGACGTTGTTATAAGGGAGCAAAATCGTACCCTGTAATTTTTTAGTTTGAATTTGTCAGGCATGAAACCTCTGTCTTGTATGTTAATGATGATTTCAAGAAAAAAGATAGTAAAAGAAGTTCATATATCTTTACAGGTCTATCTGGCGCCGGTAAAACTACTTTAAGTATGGCTCTGGAAGATTATCTTTGTCGTCAAGGAATCCCTTCTTACACTCTTGACGGGGACAACATGCGAACAGGACTGAATCGTAACTTGGGATTCACACCAGAAGATCGTGAAGAAAATATTCGTCGTGTGAGCGAAGTGGCCAAGCTGTTTGCCGACTCAGGAATGATCTGTCTCACCGCCTTCATCAGCCCTTATGAGCGGGTACAGTGCATAATTTCATCATTATCTATAATTTTCCTTCTTAATAGATGTTGCTCTTTTTGGCTTTTTTGATTTGTTTAAACTTAAGTTGCTCATTCGCCTATACTTTTGAGCTGTGGCTTGACTTTTATCGTAGAGCCGTATAACTTTTCCTAAAAGTGCGTTTCTTGTGAATCAGAAGTGTCAAAAACATCTCGATCGCTTTTCATAAAAGCTAATGAATTTGCTGAGCAAACCCTTGACGTCTGTTGGTTTACATTAACAAGACAACGATAACTGCTTCATTTTATTGCACCATAACCAAACTTTGAATAAGGAAAAAGCGATTCACAGGTCTCATGGACAATTTGCACTCGCAATCCAGCTTTCACATTTCCTAAGAAAGGCTCACTATCTCCATTTTGCGGCCCCTTTCACATATTTTTTTATTCCACGAAGAAAACCTCACGTTATACAAACAAACGTCTTCTGTCAGTGCCTTTGCAAATAGTTCGATATTGTATTGATTCTTTTTCTCAATCGGTTCGTAGCAAGCAAATTAACACTTTAAACTCGGTTGAAGCCTACAGGGTCTACGGCCCAGTGATTTTACATCGATGAATTCGTGATGCTCGCGACTTTTCTCAACAGTAACAAGTTAAATATGATTTAATTGCTTTCTAGTACAGTCTTGTTTTTGCGATTTTGCTCAGTGAGTGAACATTGAATAATGTTAAAAAAGCGACGCTTGGTTTTAAAAATTCGTCAGTCCGCTTAAATTAGTTTTGTAGTTTAATTTCCTCCACCTTACTTACGAAAAACACATTTCTAAATTGAAAGAACAAGGAATTACGTGTATCTTATTCTTGGTAATTAGAGGTTCAAAGCGGGAAAAAATTTATTCAAATTTTGGCCATGCTGACCTACGTGGCATTGCTACGTGTTAGAGTCCTATGAGGATGTATGAGCCTTATATTTGAAGTCTGGAACTAGTTTGGAGTCGAGGCGCTCGCGGCGAAGGTAGGCACGATGCTCGATTGCAAGTTCGGTCCCGAAGATGTTTCTGGTAAGTCCCGAGAACGTTTTGAGCACGGAGTGACATTTTGAAAATTCCATTTCTGTATTACTATCGCGATATTTTAGCCCATAAAACCATCCTGATGTAATTAGCCAACATTGAATTTTATCACGTGGCTCTCAAAACGATCAGCATTCCAAGCTATAAATAAATACAAGAAAAAATGGTACCGAAACCTCCCCCGTTCCCTGTTCAGTGGCGAGCTAAAGCAACAACGACAGCGATGGCTACGAAAACGTCTCATAAGTGCACTTAAAAAGTGAATTTACGTTGCCTCAAAATTTATCGCGCTTATTCCATCTCGTTTAATTCGTCAAATGCATGTTGGCAAATTTTTTTGGAGTTGAATTCTAAAGGACTGTATCAAATTCAGACAAGAAAAGGAAAGTTGTTGTCTTGTGTTCCCGTCCTGCGCGTACGGACTGTCCGGGTAGTGGAAAGTAGTCCGCATGGACTCTTGGGTAGGGGAAAGTAGAGATTTTTGGCGGGAAATCGCATGGCGCAACGCGTTAACGTCGCGCAATTATATCGCGAAACTGGTTTTGAAAAAAAAAAAGCAAGTAGAAAGAGTCAGAGCGAGAAGAAGGAGAGAAAATTATAGTGAAAAACGCCGGCAAGCAGAACGAGACAGAGCTAGAATGAACAGACAAAGGCAACGCGAAAGAGAAATACAAAGGCAAAGAGAACGGCAGCAAAATAATGACATGATGACAGAAAGTGACAAGACAGAGGCTTTTCACTTTTCTCACCATAGTCACGCGTTGATCACGCTCTACGACCGTCCAATTTTTATGATCAAAATTTGACAGGTGAGTTCATGCAGAAACTGATTTATACAGCATCTTCAACCTTGTTTAAACTGAAGCTGACAGAGTATTTTGTCAACTTGTAATGTTTTTTACTGTCTTTTTCCACTGGATGCTTAAAATGAAATACAGCTGGTATCAACAGTCTTCTTTGATTCATGGTTGGTTTGTTTATTGAATTTTTGTCGGGAAATGCGCCGGTTGCCAAAGTTGGAAATCCGATTTCGGATGCATCGTTTCGCTGGATGCGGGTTGAAAAGTCCCTCAAGCGATTCTGGCCTTTACTTTTATAGCTTTCAGCTGCATCGAATGGCAAAGAAATGTTTTTTTTTTTATATCTAATTCCATGAAGGCGAGCGCAGCTATGAGGCTAATTTATGCGGATCTAGCGAACTTTAAAAAGCCTTTAGTCGATATTTTCTCTCCGCATATAGAACGAAAAACGTTCCGAAGAGTTTTAGTTATAATTTTGGCTGTAGAAAGAAAGCTTTGAGCGATTTTCTTGTAAACACCAGGAAGCCGGCTAAAAGCTTTAAGGATTTTTAGAGACGCTTTAATACTTGTCTCCGTGAATGAAAATTGTTGTCTCTGTAAATGTTTCACCGAATTACATTTCTTTTATTGATTGTTAGTAGTCTCGTACAATTTTAATCGCTTTGCGTTTGTTTTCAGTCGTTCGTATCAAACGCTTTTAAGATTTTATAAAACATTTAAAAAAAAAAATCGTCGGTTTTTTAATGTTCACTGAAAATTTGGCGAAATCGTCGCATATGAATCGTTTTGCGTGGCAACGTTACTGAAATGTTGGTTTACAAGAGTTGTTGGCAAGGTTAAGAAACTTGCTCAGCGCACGACGAGATAATAAGCACAGAAAACACTCTGAACGGGCAGCACACGTTTTGGCAAATTTCTTCGCCGTCATTGCGCGACTTATGTTGTC